TATCGTAGATATAATTCTATTATTTTTAGTTAAAACTGTAGTCAAGTTATGAAGCCTTTGGAGTTTAGCCTAACCTTATCAGACAGGAAATAACCAGCGAATAAAGGTATATGGTAGATATTACTATATCCAGATATGTATTGCTTATGATAAAGTGTACACGTGTCCATAGCATTTTCATATTTAGGTACACCCCACGGGAGGTTATGCTGTTCTGAATGTTTTTCTATAATAATTCGAGAAGTACGTTACAATTTTGCTAGCATGACTGTTTATCAGTTACTGGAGTCTTACCTTGCTCAGCAGTCATCTTTAAAGCCTCGTTACTACGAGTTAAATTGGCTCTAAGAGAAGGCTGTGAGTTAAAATTTGTAAATTTAGTTTCATAGTTATTCTAGTAACCAAATAAAACTTTAGTTCACTATAACAGCTGTATTATCCTTCTCATTTAGATAGATATAAGTCGTAATATGAGCATGTCGGGCTAAAATTGATATTCGCAACTAAAGGAACGCAAGATGAAAGAGTCGATGGAATATTCTTTCAGCATCTCAAAATAATTATAAAATTGACTCCTAAAGTAGAAGCTTATATAGGTAGGTATCAACTAGTATAAAAAGTATTCAAATCAATCGGTTGGCTTATTAAGATTACAAAGTGGCAAACTGCAAAATATGAATGATAATTATAATCGTAGCCATAAGTATCATTTAGCTTATCAGGACTAGATCAAATTAAAATTACTGATAAATAACCTAAAATAATACTTACATGGCAAAAAGAACAAATACATTCGGTGCAATTCTGTCTAACTGCTAAGATTGCAGATTCTTGAGGTACTCTGCATACCTTACCTATTGTTTAGAGCCGTGGAGATTTAGTTATATCATTAGCTTATATAAATAATTTTAATTTTATTATTTATATCTTATAACGCCTTATTTTTTCTTCCAGACAGGATATAATCCGTCAAAGTAGACTAGCTTACCGGGTAGACTAGCACTAGATTTCGAAATTGGTGGAGGATTTTTTAGAATATGATGTAGTCTTCCAAGTGTCCCATTATTTTTAGCTGGTGAAACATTTAGAATAGCTAGATGGAATTAATCATACCAGTTAGTATACATA